ATTTAGAAGGGAAGGCATCTCATGATTTATCTCCTCTGACTTTGACTGCAGCTGTATTTCCACCTGCCATAAATTCTAGCTCAACACCTCACTCCATCGAGGGAATGCTGTTCATCCCTCCACACCTCTCTTCATGATCCCCCTTGTCCCCCTCTGTTTATCTCACTGCTGGTGCAGTTCCAGCATCCTGATCTTTAAGCAGATGGTCTTGGGAATCTGATTTGTAAGAGCAGATTGTTTTTCTTTCCCTCAAACTGCTGCTATTTCTGAGTATCCCCTCTAAAATTTTACCAGCTGAGTGCTTGTCCTGGGAACGATGGAGCTGCATTGTCCCAGCAAACTTCTCACAATGCTGGAACAATGCACTGACAATTAAATCAGAACTTTGACTTCAGCCCCAGCTCCCAAGTCATGTGGTCTGAGTTTCCACATTCATCAGGCTGGCTGTGGAGCCCAGAGCTCAGCTCTGGCCAAGGTGGGGCTGGCAGGGTCCCCTTGGTGTCCTACAAAATGTCACAGCACCCACGCAGATCCTGCTGAATTCTTTCCCAGCAAATCCCTTCTTCCCCAGGATGTCTTGGAAAGCAGGAGGCTCTTGCAGGCAGGCAGGCAGGATCTCTGCAGACTGAGGGCAGCCCTGAAAGACTCAAAGCATTCCCAAGCAGCTGCAGGAAGCTCTCCCTGAGATCAGCCCCTGTGACCGATAACAAACTCATTGCTGTGCAAACTCACCTCTCTGAAGATCCATGAGAAAGAAAAAAACCAGGCACAAGAAGCTGTTAAAAACTTTCTGCATTGTGCTGGTGTGCTGCCAGGTGCATTTTTGCCAAATAATAAATTTCAGCTTGGTGCACACCTCCTTCAGAGGTATCCATTGCACCTCCAGCCCCTCTCCGTGGGGTTTGTGAGTCAGCAGCAGCACGGAGCCATCCCAAGGGAAAGGTGAGCAGGCAGCTTGCCAATTCATCAGGAACAAATCTCCCCTTTCTTTTAGATCTTTCTCCTCATGAAAGGGAGAGATTCCTGGCTCAGGACCAGCCCTGCATCCAAAGGCAGGGCTTCATGCAGGAGATGGACACAGAAGGAAAACAAAGCCATTTTAATTGCTCTTCCTGGTTTCCAGGGAAGGGGTTCAGGTTCTAACTAACTCCTAATTACTCACCACCTCCACAAAAAAAAAATTACCACCCTCTTCCACATCAGCATTTTAACAGAGCATTGTTTAACCCCATGGCTGCAGGTTAAATAAAACCAGAGCTGAGACATCAGGGAGGAAAGTATGTTTGTTCACAAGGGAGCCCCTGCTCTTCAAAAGCTTACAGAAAGGAGAAAACCTCAAAAAAATTACATTTTCCCAGGTGAAACTGCGGGAAAGGCCACAGCGGCTTCCAGTGCAGAGCCTGGAGGAAGGGGAGGAGAGGGGGTTAGAGACTGGGATTTATCCACCTTCTCTTGGGTGTCAGCTGCATAAATCTGAGCAGGGCATCCCCTGGGTGGTTCCCCTCATCCTGGTGCTTGCTCTAGGGCAGATCCAGTGAATCTTGGACAGGAAGGACTTGCTGTTCCCTTGGCCTAACAGGAAAACCCCTGGGGAAGAGCCCAGCTTGCCACTCTTCCCTCCTGCTCCCCCAGAGTTTGGGGCTCAGTCCCATCCACTGTGCCACAACATTCTGCCAGCATGAACTGAGACAATTGCCATAAATAAAATCTCCATTAAACCCAGCTGCCAGTGCCCACCAGGCCCATCCTTCTCAAAAACAAGCCTGAAAGTTAGAGTTCTTGCTGCTGCACGTAACAGTTTTATATTTATTGTACGAATTCACACGTGCGTATGTGTGGAAGATCAAAAGCAGCTTTTTCCTGGTGCACAGTTTAATGAGTGCACTTGAATAAGCCCTTAGGACCTTTTTTGGTGGTGATGGAGCAGGGGAGATGCTCTGCCTCCACTCAGACCAGCTGGAGAACTGGTTCCAGAGCATTGGCTTCCCAGTGGAAAGTGGAAGCAGGTTTCAGTTTTGTCCCAGTTCAGATCTGCAAACATGACATCAAGCTTGGGAAGAGAAGCCCAGGACTTCATTAAAAAACAAAACCAAAACCCCAAGCAGGTTTCCATTTTGGATTGCAAATGAAAAGCCCTGGACCTCAGCAGGTGCTCTGTGGGTGACTCTGCCCTTCCATCTCTGGCCCAGTGAGGTGGAAAAGGTTTATTCAGGGGGAAGTTTTGTTTCTCAAGCAGCAAAGGGAAGCTCATCCCTTGTGAGTGCTGGCTGGCACAACTCTAACTAAAGACAGCTGACCTGTGTCAGAACAGAAGGGGACCAACTAACCAGCCCAAAATTCCACTGGGATGGGTGCTGGGCCAGCTGTGAGTTGCCTCTTCTGAGCTTTAAGGTCACAGAATCACGCATCCTGGACAACCTTTCTCACCTGAAGCTGCCAAGAGGAGTTTTGTGTGAGCACCAGCAAGGGAACCAGGCATCTGACAGCCTGGGATGGGTGGGATAGCAGCAAAGGGCAGTAATTCAGGCTCTGCACACTCCCAAAGGAAAGATGGGTACCCAGACAGTCTCTCTAACCCAAAAAAGAACACAATTTCCAGCCCTGCCTGTTTCCTACCCTGTGCAGCTGTTTTTGTAAGAAGTTTTAAATAAAAGGCCAGGCACAAACCTCTCCTTTCATCCCAGGGCATGGCAATAGGACATTTTTAGGTAGAAGAGGTCAACTGCTGTGAATAGCTCCTTCCACAGGAGCTGCCCAGGATGGAGCCCAACCATGCAATTTAAGGTCAGTGTCACATCCCTGACGTGGATATAAGGTAATAACAAGTTCCACTGTCACTGTACCCAGCTCTGCCTCAGATAAGCCTGAAGAGGCTCAGATAAAGGCAGATAACAAATGAGAGGGTTTCTGTTACAAGCAGAGATCCTTGGAAATCAAGGCAACTGAATTGGATGCACATCACCTGATGTGCCTGGACTTTCCAGAGTAAAAGATGCCAAAGACTTTAAATTATAATATTCTCCCCTTAAATCGTAGTATTCACCCTTTTCTGCATCCCTTTCACACCCAGAATGGGTGGAAATACAGTAGAAATGTTTAATCAGCCAGGATAAACCATAATTAGACCCGTTTCCAGGGTTGTATTGTATGGAGAGCTCATGAGAGGAGAGGTTTTACTGAGTTGTGGGAGAGTGTTTCCCTTTGTGACTGAAGGATCTGCTCCTCTGAGGGGACAACAGAGGATGAAGAACAAATGTGAATAAACAATCAGATATTTTGTGTGGTGTGGCTACCCTGGGGTCCTTCCTTGGGCAGATGGACATTTCACATTGGGAAAGCCCAACCTGAGCCTTGTGTCAGCCAGTGAGAGCCTCACAAGGCTGACACAAAAATGTCCTGAAGGAGGGGCCTTGAGGAGGGTCAGTGGTGGCACAAGCGCTCCCCAGGGGTGACCAAAAAGCAGCTGGGGCAGCACCAAGGTTTTGGCTGTGCCCTGAGCTCCCTTCACTGCTCTGAGCATTTCAGGGCTCTGCTTCCAAGTGGGTCACAACATATTTAACTCTGTGGAAACTGAGGGAGGGCTTTTGGTCCAGTAGGATGTGCCCAGCACACAGCAGAGCCCCAAGCATGGGCCAGGTGTCCAAGCTCCAAGCCAGCCTCCTCCTTAGCTGGAGATGGATCACCACAGGATGGGTGCTCCATAACAGCAGAGACAACAACTTCCATGTGCAAAGTGCAGAAAAACTTGCACAGCTCTGTGGAAAAGGCCAGGAAGACACTGTGAACATCTTCAGCATCCCTGGCCATGCAAGAGCAGGGATTTATTGACTCAACCTAAGCAGAAGATACAGGAGGAGGCAGGAGATCAGAGTGGCACTGCTCACAGCCATGGCACAAAACCTTTGCTCCCAGCTGGGCGACTTTGGCAAGTGCTGCCTCAAAGTCGTGCCTGGGAAAAAAACATCATGAGACCTCTGTGTCTGCTGGAGGAGGATAAAGGCATCCTGTTTGTGCAGGGAGGAGGAGGAGGAGGAGGGGAGGCTCACCTGGCTGTGTCAGGAGGAAGGTGAGGCAATTCGGTTTTTTCTGATTTGCCTGTCCTTGCATTGCCTTCCACCTGGCATCGCGGGGGAACGGTAAAACCCCGCGGAAGAGGAAAGCCAGTGCCCTCTGATTGTCTAATCTGCACTTTGCAGGCTCTAATCAGCCCATTTCGCTCACTGTGTAAAAAGCACCTGAATGATTCACCATCTCAGCGCTGCTCTGGCGGGGCCAGTTTGCTTCAGCTGCTCTAACACTTGTTTACATCTGCGTTAGGGCAGCCTTGAATAAGCGTGAACCTCCCACAGATGCTAATTCATATCAGCTCTCCTTTGTGTTAAATATTTATGTTCCTAATAGGCACGCCTAAGAAAAATACTGGCAAGTGAGCCTGCAGCTCAACTGCATTACAACTCAATTTTATCTCAGTGCAGCTCGCATCTGGAACGAGCAGGATGAGAAAACATTCTATTTGCAGAGCACAGCAGCCTGGCCATTAGCAATCTGTCGATGAGATGACAATAAAACCCATCCATGAGAACTTCCAAAGACTTTCCGTGGCTGCCTGGACCCATAACTGCACCCCAAAGGCAGCAGAGCTTTTGGAAATCCCCACGGCAGCAAAACACAAAACAGTCCAGGCCCAGACAAAGGTTATGCACGAAATCAAAGCCAGGCTGTGCAGAGGCTGAAGGAAAAGTTGTGTCCTCAGAGCTGACAGGGAGCCCGGACGGGTTCTTGGCAAGCTCGGAGCTGCTCGTTCCATCCCCAAACGATGTAAATCAGGGTGGGCTCCTTCCAGCAGACACATCCTGCTTTGTAACAGGGCAGGATCTTTAATTTTTATTTTTTTTTTTTTAAGTATGAAACATTAATTTTTTTTGTTACCATCCCACATACAAAGTCATCAAACAGTTCTGGCCTCATTAAAACCAGCAAGGGTGCAGGAGCTCGCTTACCTTGCTGCAAAGTGCGCGCTGTCCTCGCAGGTGTCCCCTCTCCACCGAGCCCAGCGCCTCCTTCTCCTCCCCGCCGAGCTTCAAGGCACTTTTGTTCACTGTTCTGCTACCTTGTCAGCCGGGAACAGCACTGTTCGGAAATTCAATCCTCTACTTAACCGCAGAGACACTCCTACCCGGAGATCACACCCATTCCCAGGCTCACAGAGGGACAAAGAGGGAGCCGGTCCGGGAGAGTTTCAACCAACTCTGTTTGCATCCAATATCCCCTGCTCTGAATTCCCTGAATGGTGATTAAGTGCTGCTTTCATTAAAAACCTGTTTTGTCCAGGTTAGGAGGGCACAGGAGGATTTTTTTCCTCTTTTCTCGGTCTCTGCAGGACAAAGCAAGGTGTGGGGCTGCTCAGTGTTAACCCTTGGGGACAAAGAGTTCCAGCTCCACTCTCTGGCTCTGACTGTCCCCAGAATTCTGAATTCTGAAGTCCCGAATTTTGGCAAAACTGTTCCAAGGGGAAAAGTGCTCAGGGAAGATCCCTGCTCTTCTTCTCCCTGCAAGGCCGAGCTGGGTGAGGATTGCCCCCAGGTTTAGGGATGTAACAGAGCATTGGAGTGTTTAACTGGGCTGCCCTCCCAGGAGAGCAGTAATGATCAACCAGGCAGCCCCAGCAGGGTTTGCTGAGCCACCTTCAGCAGCACAAAGCTTTGTGTGTGGACACTTACAGCTCATTGCTGAGAAAAAATTTACCTGTGAAGGATGGCTGTAATATCACAGCCACTGAATGCTGGCTGATTCACTGGCTGGGGATGAGCTGAGGAAAAACCATCTCCTGGCATTCCCAGCTGCTCCTGCCTGCCATGTGCAGGGTGCTGCTGATGGAGGAACCTCCCTGTCTGGAGAGGGAACCATGTGGTACCTTGTCATCAGCCACCAGCTCCACTTTGGGGGCACCCAGGGCTGTGTCCAGGAGATATCTGAGGATGGAGACCTTTGGGACACCCAGGGCTCTGCCCAGCTGTGCTCTGCATATCTCTGAGGATGGAGATTTTTGGGGGACCCAGGGTTGTGTCCAGCTGTGCTCTGCTCATCTCTGAGCGTGGAGACTTTTGGGGACCCAGGGTTGTGTCCAGCTGTGCTCTGAACATCTCTGAGGATGGAAACTATACACAACCTCTCAGGACTGGCAGCTGTCCAAGGCCTTCCCTTCAGATACATTTTTCCCTTGTCACTTCCTTAATTTTCTAGATTAGCCCCCACAATCTGAAAATAAATATGAATCAGCTAAACCAGGTGGCTGAATAGCTTTAAACCACAGATCCCACAGGTCCCATCCACTGGCCACTGTCAGACCTCAGAGAGCTGTAGTGGGAGGAGTGCCCAAAATACCAGTGACACTGCCTGCAGCCTGGTGTGCCACTGACCACAGAGAGCTGCAAACCAAGGTGTGGCTGGACCTGCTTGTTCAGCCTGGGTGTGCCCATTTCTGACAGGATCACTGCAGAGGTCTCAGTTTCACAGTTTAAGATGCAAAACCAACTCCTCACAAGTGATTTCGCTCTTTATGTCTGCAGGCTATAGCTCTTAAACCTCTAACAGCCTTCACCTTTTATTTTTCATTGTTTTCATGTCATTATTTTCATTTCACCATGCTGAGAGTGTTCATCTGTTGCAGGGGACAGAGGAAAAAGGCTTTTTGTTTCCTCCAGTCCACAGAGGATGGGGACCTGAAGCAGGGTCTCCTTTTATCTTTGGAGCCCACCCTAAGACCAATGCTAGCCCAGCAGTGAGATCACACAGCAGCAGATCTGGTGGGAGGCATTTAAAGGTGGGGTGAAATCCCCTGGAATCTTGGAGGATCAGCACCAAATCCTGGTGTGTTCCCACTCCCTTTTTTGCCTCATGGACTTGTTATCCCCAGAACTAAGGATTTCATTAATAGTTGAGTGTCTGGGTGAAATTTTGGTGCTGATGTAAATCAAGGCACTTCCATGGCTGTGGCTACACAAATTTGAGCTCTGGGATGGAATTTTCATTGCTATACCCAGAGCTTTGCTAATGCACTTCAGGCTCTCACACAGGTGATGCCTGAGCTGCCTGCCCTCTCCTCCTCTCCATTAGTGCACAGTGAAAAAGCACTAAATTATCCTGGTGAGCTTTTAAGGAGCCCAACTCTGCAGAAATATGTGCAAAGCAGTTTAGAACAGTCAATGCCAAGAGGAAAAAAGATCATCATAAAATGTGGGCTCATTTAGGGCTGAGCTGTAGGCACTTTTGCTTCCTGCTAATTCTGGTCATGCCATGGGGTTACAGAGCAGAAAACATTATTTCCGAGCAGTTTAACTCAGTAGTGGTGGAAAACAGCCTAGCCTGACTTTCAGAACTGAAACATGATCTGAGATGTCCCTGTCCAGCTGTGCTCAACCTGCTGCTCTCGTGTCCTGGCCCTAATCCTGGCCCTGCTCTTCGCAGAGCTCACAGACCTTGTGGTTTGGGGTTTTTTTGTGCTTGCAAGTGGCAGATGAGGCTGTTGGCAGTGTCCCAGTGCAAGCCCAGGACACTGAGAGCATTGTCCCAGTTCCAGGCTGGGGTAAATCAGAGGGAGGAAGAGAGCAGAGCTGCAAGCTCAGGGTCTGGCAGCAGAATGGCCCAACATCTGCCTCAGCCTGGGCCATCCCACCTTCCTGTGCACAAGGGTGACTTTGTGCATGGGGGAACAGGCTCTGCCAGGGATGTGTTTGCAAAGTGACACCTCCCAAAGGTATTTCCAGCCTGCTGCTGCATTGGAGCTCTGGGAGGAAGAGGGAAGGGCCAAGCCCTGCAGATGAGATAACACAGCAGGGTCCTCCTGCCTTGGGAAAGCAAAGGAAGGAGTTAAAAAACCCCCACAAGTTGCTCAAAACACCCTCAGCAGAGGTTAAACACCCTGACCTGAAATAGCAAAAGCACTGCATGAATTTCTGAGAAGCTTTCAGGAGAGCTTTCCTCGACCTACCACTCAACCAAGAGACATTTCCCTGCAAGTCCCTCATGTAGCCTCACTCAGGCTCTTCTCTGCCCTAAAAAGTCATAATGTCCACATGCAAATCTGCACAGTGCCTCTTACAGGTGTAACAGCTGATCTGAAAGAAGAGGATTGGGTTATAACCTTCTGCTCCTTCACCTCCTGTGCCCCTGGTTGTGGGGGAAAAGCTGAGAAGGCAATACAAATGCTTGTGTGCTAAGTGCCAGATCATCTCTCAGATGAGGCCTTATCACTCCCTGCAGCTCCCTGACAGGAGCGGGGGTTGGTCTCCTCTCCCAGGTAACAAAAGAAAATAGGAAGTGGTTCCAAGTTGTGCCAAAGGAGGTTCAGTTGGATATTAGGAAAAAAAATTCTTCACCACAAGGGTTATCAGGCATTGGAACAGGCTGAGCAGGGAAGTGGTGGAGCCACCATCCTTGAAGGGATTTAAAAGATTGAGATATGGCACTTGGGGACAGGGTTTAGTGGTGGCCTTGGCAGTGCTGGGTGTGACCGTGTTCACAGGGGTTCTTGGATGAGGGAAGAGATCAGGATCTGACTCAATGTTTCAGAAGGCTGATTTATTATTTTGTGATATATATTACATTAAAGCTATACTAAAAGAATAGAAGAAAAGATTTCATCAGAAGGCTGGCTAAGAATAGAATAGCAAAGAATGATAACAAAGGTTTGTGGCTGAGCTCTCTGTCCGAGCCAGCTGGCTGTGATTGGCCATGAATTAGAAACAACCACATGAGACCAATCACAGATGCACCTGTTGCATTCCACAGCAGCAGATAATAATTTTGTTCCTGAGTCCTCTCAGCTTCTCAGGAGAAAAAATCCTAAGGAAAGGATTTTCCATAAAATATGTCTGCGACACCTGGGTTTACAGCAGGACTTGATTTTTGGGTCTTTTTCCAACCTAAATGATCCTTTTCCTACCTAAAGGAGGGGCCTTGGCAAGCCAAGGGCACCAGGGTAAATGCTGATTTGGGGCAGCTCTTCTCTTTGGAAGAGCTCTGGAGGTGCAGTTCACTCTTCCAGGGCCAGCAGCTCACAGCAGGTTAAGACAGGAGCAGTTTCTGACATGGGGCAAACCTGTAGCTGTTGCTCCAGTTTATTGCTTGGCCATGTTAGTGCAAAATCCATTTTAAGCCATCTGTGTTGGGCTGTGGGCTGGAGAGATGGGGCTCATGTGTCCTCAGGCTAATGGGCAAAAGCACCCCCTGAGAGAGGACAGAGGTGGGGGCTTCTTGTAGCATTGCCAGCTAGGTCTGACAGGGCTTCTGGCCAGCCTTGAACCCTCAGGTACATCCTAAAAAGTCTCTAACCCATCCTTGGAGGTGGGATGCACCACTCTGTGTCTCTGCTAGCCAGGAGAAACACCTCAGTGAATGTAACTCCAGCAATACTGATGGAATGGCTGTGTCATGTCCCTTGGTCTGTCCCTGTGAGCTGTGGCTGGAGTTTTTGCAGAGGGATGTACAGCAGCATGTTTTCCAAAAGTACCTTTGAGAGAATTACATTCTCCCAGCCTTTGGGGAGGAGGTTTATTCCAGACTTCTGTCTTGGAGCAGAAGAGCAGATTTACCTTCCAGGAGGTAAATCTGCAGCTGGCTGGGGACAGGAGAAGTGGCAGAGGAGGGGCAGCTGCCCCTGGGGGCTCCTCTGCACCTCTCCCTGTTCAACCTCACCCACCACAGAATCAGCAGTGCCCTTAGAGAGCAGGACAGCCCAGGTGGGACCCTGACCCTGGTGTGGGAACCCAGGACATCTCTCTGGCTGTCCAGGATGGCCAAGACCCCTGCCAGGGGGCTCAGAGACCCTGGCACAGAGCCCAAAACACCTGTGGGTTTGATTATGACCCATGGAGCAAATTACCAACCTTGTGTGAAGATCTGCAAGCCACAACAGTTTAGGTAGAATAATAGTGAAGTTATCACAGGGTGGAAAAGTAGATTTTAAGGTTTCTGGTATGGGGATTCAGGGGACAAGATGGAGGCATCTGGATGTGTCCAGCCTTTCTCCTTCTCCTTCTTGGCCTCCATCTTCTGCTGTGATGTTGGCACTTTTAGATTGGTTTAGAGTAGAAGCTCACTGTCTAACATAGGTGATAGGTATTG